GAATTTAAATTTTAATTTTTTTTTCTTTCAATTTTACATCATACAAATCTTCCAACCCTGACTCTTCAGTTAAGATTAAAAAACCAAGACAATTGAAAGATTTATGGCAGTATCACGATTCGATGTTAAAAATTTATTTTATGTGCCCCCAACAAAATAATTTTCATAAAATAATTATTTTAAATAAGGTTTACTTTTGCGTTTACTTTTTGCGGTTTACTTTTATAAATTTTCAGAACATTAAATCTATATGAAAGATTTTAGTATGTCGCATGTTTTGTAGACCTCAGTTCAAGAAACCCGAATTTTGGATTATGCCAGTCTTGTAGAGATATGTAGGTACATATATTGTAGAAATTACAAGCGGAATTTTTACTAACGATACACTTAAAACTGATTTCATTTTTAATTTTAAAGTTTAATACATGAAAGGGTATATTTTTAGTTGTTAAAAACTATGAAATTGAAAAATCCCTACAATTTGACAATAGTAAGAAATCTTTCCCTTTTTCCCTACACGTGAAAATTTTGAAAAAAATCCCTACAAAAAGGGAAAAATCCCTACACTTGGCATCACTGTTTCACACTTAAGTAATACTTTACATTTTCAAGATTAACTGGCTTTACAAATGAATCTTTTGTTTTTTGAAATCTAAGGTTTATTTATTTTTTAATCAATCTATTATTCAACCACATCTTATTAAATTTACCAATTCAAATGTAAAATGAAGATTGTTTTAAAATTGACTTTTGCTGCGGCCATACATAAATAATAGAAAACTAAAAATAGAAAAATTTTGTTTATTTTTCTATTTAGCCTCTTAACTTAGAGCCTGTTATACTTCTTTGTAATGTATCTCTATAAATGCATCTACAAATCCAAATTCATTTGGCCACTTTATTTTTTGGACGCTTTCAAAAGCCTAAAGTGCCAAATACTTTCGTCATTACTAAGACATCAATGTATGAATTTCATTTATAAAAACATTTTACTACTAAACTAAAGATAAACTGAAAGTCTTTAGCCATTTAAAAGAAGCCGTTTCTTCAATCCCATCATCAAATAGCCCAGCATGATGGTGGTGGGCAATTGAATTGTGGCAAGAGTTTCGAAAAAAAAATTCATACATTTTGTAAAACAATCTCAGCAATGCGGCAGTAAAAACAAACAAATCATGTCGAGACGAAAACAATTTTATGTTTAGTTTTATATTTTTCTTTTAGTTTTGGGATTTTCTATACAGTTTATGGTAGTTCAAAATGCAATAACTTGATGCCAAATTTTTTATTTTTAAACTTTGTGCTGCAGCAGCATACAAAACGACAAGTGGTTGTAAAGTGAAATTGTTTGGGGTTTCTTTTGTTTTCGGCTTTTTCCACATGAGTGAATATGTTACATGGTAAAGTGGATTTTAATTTTTAATTAAAAGCGAAATGGTTTAAAATTGAAATTTGAGGAATGTATTTATAAAGTTCACTATGATTATAATAATATCTGTATCAAATGTCTATTGACTTGTGTACAACTTATTCAATAGACCAGTCCATAGACAAGTTAATATACAAGTCCGTAGAATTAATAGACCAGTCCATAGACTGATTGATAAACAACTCCAATGACAGGCCGTAGACTAGAATTTACACCAGTCCATAAACTAGCCAATAGAGTGAACCATAGACCAGTCCAGAGATATGTATGTACATTTCACAAATGCTATACCAGTTCTAGTTTAGTTCTTGTTCAGTTCTAGTTTCAGTTCTAGTTCTAGTTCTAGTTCTAGTTCAGTTCTAGTTCAGTTCTAGTTCAGTTCTAGTTCAGTTCTAGTTCAGTTCTAGTTCAGTTCTAGTTCAGTTCTAGTTCAGTTCTAGTTCTCAGTTCTTCTAGTTCAGTTCTAGTTCTTCTAGTTCAGTTCTAGTTCAGTTCTAGTTCAGTTCTAGTTCAGTTCTAGTTCAGTTTCTAGTTCAAGTTCTAGTTCAGTTCTAGTTCAGTTCTAGTCAGTTTATTCAGTTCTAGTTCAGTTCTAGTTCAGTTCTAGTTCCAGTTCTAGTTCAGTTCTAGTTCCAGTTCTAGTTCAGTTCTAGTTCAGTTCTAGTTCGTTCTAGTTCAGTTCTAGTTTCCAGTTCTAGTCAGTTCTAGTTTCAAGTTTCTAGTTCAGTTTAGTTCAGTTCTAGTTCAGTTCTAGTTCAGTTCTAGTCCGTTCTAGTTCAGTTCTAGTTCAGTTCTAGTTCAGTTCTAGTTCAGTTCTAGTCAGTTCTAGTTCAGTTCTAGTTCAGTTCTAGTTCAGTTCTAGTTCAGTTCTAGTTCAGTTCTAGTTCAGTTCTAGTTCAGTTCTAGTTCAGTTCTAGTTCAGTTCTAGTTCAGTTCTAGTCAGTTCTAGTTCAGGTTCTAGTTCCGTTCTAGTTCAGTTCTAGTTCAGTTCTAGTTCAGTTCTAGTTCAGTTCTAGTTCAGTTCTAGTTCAGTTCTAGTTCAGTTCTAGTTCAGTTCTAGTTCAGTTCTAGTTCAGTTCTAGTTCAGTTCTAGTTCAGTTCTAGTTCAGTTCTAGTTCAGTTCTAGTTCAGTTCTAGTTCAGTTCTAGTTCAGTTCTAGTTCAGTTCTAGTTCAGTTCTAGTTCAGTTCTAGTTCAGTTCTAGTTCAGTTCTAGTTCAGTTCTAGTTCAGTTCTAGTTCAGTTCTAGTTCAGTTCTAGTTCAGTTCTAGTTCAGTTCTAGTTCAGTTCTAGTTCAGTTCTAGTTCAGTTCTAAGTTCAGTTCTAGTTCAGTTCTAGTTCAGTTCTAGTTCAGTTCTAGTTCAGTTCTAGTTCAGTAGTCAGTTCTAGTTCAGTTCTAGTTCAGTTCTAGTTCAGTTCTAGTTCAGTTCTAGTTCAGTTCTAGTTCAGTTCTAGTTCAGTTCTAGTTCAGTTCTAGTTCAGTTCTAGTTCAGTTCTAGTTCAGTTCTAGTTCAGTTCTAGTTCAGTTCTAGTTCAGTTCTAGTTCAGTTCTAGTTCAGTTCTAGTTCAGTTCTAGTTCAGTTCTAGTTCAGTTCTAGTTCAGTTTCTAGTTCAGTTCTAGTTCAGTTCTAGTTCAGTTCTAGTTCAGTTCTAGTTCAGTTCTAGTTCAGTTCTAGTTCAGTTCTAGTTCAGTTCTAGTTCAGTTCTAGTTCAGTTCTAGTTCAGTTTCAGTTCTAGTTCAGTTCTAGTTCAGTTCTAGTTCAGTTCTAGTTCAGTTCTAGTTCAGTTCAGTTCAGTTCAGTTCAGTTCTAGTTCAGTTCTAGTTCAGTTCTAGTTCAGTTCTAGTTCAGTTCTAGTTCAGTTCTAGTTCAGTTCTAGTTCAGTTCTAGTTCAGTTCTAGTTCAGTTCTAGTTCAGTTCTAGTTCAGTTCTAGTTCAGTTCTAGTTCAGTTCTAGTTCAGTTCTAGTTCAGTTCTAGTTCAGTTCTAGTTCAGTTCTAGTTCTAGTTCAGTTCTAGTTCAGTTCTAGTTTAGTTCTAGTTCAGTTCTAGTTCAGTTCTAGTTCAGTTTTAGTTCAGTTCTAGTTTAGTTCTAGTTCAGTTCTGCTTCAGTGCTTGTTCATTTAAAAATTCCGTAGACCAGTCCAGAGACTAGTCTAAAGACTTATAGATACGTCAATATCATGTGCATTAATCCGTCTGTGTACTAGTTAGTAACTAGTCCTTGTTTTAGTCATTAGACCAACTTGTGACCTAGTGAACAGGAAGAAAATTTAGTACTTTTAATAATATTTTTTTTCGAATTTGGGAGCCTTTTCGATGTCCATAATGCCAAATACACAACTATTGCCTTTAGAGGCAAACCTATTTATATTTTAAATCTCTAAGATTATTTAATTTAATAATTTCAATTAAAGCACATTTCTCCACTTCAATACTCTCCAACACAAGTTGCATTCAACACTTCTCTCTATGATCTAAATCACTACTAAGTATCTCAAATTTGGATGAATAGTACATATTGCAGCATAACGAGACTGCAAACAAAAGTACACGTTCATTCAAGCTGTGTCAGAGAAGAAAAACTTCCTCTATTAATGGCCTATAAAAGCCTTTAATTGAAGCATATTCTCCTTAATGAAATGCGAGTATGAAAGGAAAACTTTTATAATTAGAACAAACTCTTAATGCTTACGTATGTACGTATTTAGTACGTTTTACAAGTATTTGTTTAAAATAAAATAAGTAGTTTAAGTGAAGTTTTTGTTATATTTTTCTAGTCTTTTTTCCCCATATTTTTCATGACCTAAATTTTGATTTGAAAACCCACTGATACATATTTAGTCAAAAGTATGAAAGTACAAAAGGGATACGATTTGTAAAGAGATGAATTTGAGGTTTTGTTTTATCATGAATAAATTATTTGAAATCAAAGTGATTGGAAAAAGTTGAGGAAATGCAGAACGTTTGTAAAAATGGTTATTGTTTAGGAGAAATTATTAAATGTAATGTAATATCGATGGAAAATATCTTTCAATAAGAGAGAGATTTTCTATAGAAATAGCTCTCAATTAGAGATAGAGTTTGTATAGAAAATATATCTTAATTAGAGTGAAAGAGCAAGGATTTCCGAATATTTTCTGTTATTTGCGAGCATGTTTTCAAAACACTTTTCAATTCATCAAATTCTTAAAGATTTAAACAAAAAGTATTTAAGTATCCTATTGATTACTTTGTTATATCGCCAATGATATGTAGTTATTGATTGACTAAGTCATTTTGAGAGAAAGACATTTTAATTTGAATCACCTTTCTAACGAAGGAACACCTTTGATTTTATATTCATTTCATGATTTTCTTCTTTTTTCTTCTTTGTTTAGTCTGCTTGTCCATAATGACATTAAACAAACATTGAAACATGAACATAAAATCGTTCAATACACACACCATTAACCAAACTGAATGTGTTTAAATCAGATGAAAAACAAAAAGTGGGAGGTGGTCGCATCGATGGGAGGATGTTATGTGTGTGATGTCTCGCATACTTATAGTTATTACCAAGTCATTTATACTCACCTAATAAATGTGTTCGAAAGTATATTACATCACGTAATGTCACCTCTTCATTGCGATAGAGTATTTGAAAAACACGTGAGGCCCCCGCCCCATTAATTATACTGGCCGAACCTAAATTGTGCACATTATTAGGTAGTGGTGGTATATCGGAAGGTTGATGATGAAGTTGTTGATCTCTTAGGTCTGCTTCAATGCCACCGCCGCCGCCAACAACAACAATATTATTGCCATTAGACAAACCGAGAATACCACCTCCTCCTCCTCCTACTACTCCTAAACCTGCACTGTTACCACTTCCATTACTGTTGGTATTTGTATTAGCAGCATCACTACTACCTCCGCTAGCACCACTTCCATTTGATATAATGGGCTGTGCTGCTGGCTGGCCATTAGCTGTGGTTTCTGGTATTGTGGTCTCGATTTGTACCGGTAAACGGGGTGAGACACGCAGGGCACATCGTACTTGATATAAACTGTAAAGAGAAAAATCAAATGGTTTATTTTTTAAGTATTTCACTTGTCTTTTTTTCTTCTTCTTCTTTCATTAGCTTATTTAGTAATACACATAAAGGTTAATGGTCATTTTAAAAAACATTTTCATCAACTATAAGGGGAACAATTTAAAAACAATTGTCAGTTTTTTATATTTTAGTTTTCTCTATGCGATTGACATTGTGGTTAAATTAAATTTGAAGTGTCTGTTCAGTTGACTGTGAAGATGAGATTGTTTGTGTTTTTTTTGTGATTTTGTTGTTAAGTCATGCCTGAATGTCACAATAATTGAGTCCTCTTAAAAACTTAAAAGGTGGGTTGAAAAACATACGTAGATTTTGTAATTAGTTTGAAGGTGGATTTTTGTCAGGTTGGTTTTGAATCCTAGTGCAAGAGCACTTAGGAAATTTATGGGTTATAGTCAGATCTCCAATTCGTGGTATCTGACCGAATTTGAGCGAATTCTAAGAGCGTCACAAATTTTCGTGTGATTTAAGTTGTAGGAAAATATTGTCAAAATGTCTACCTATAGAAAATATCTACTTAGTTAGTTAGTTAGTTAGTTTGAAAGGAGGATGTATATACATCAAATCCGAAGAAATACACCTAGGCCTCTATCGGGCCTGTTGTGCGCTCCTTAACCAGTGCCTCAGGTGGGAATCGAACCCACCACCTCCGGTCTACCAGTCTAGAACACTAACCACTAACCTACCGGGGGCCACAAAAATATAAAATATCTACTTAATGACTCAAGAAGTTACTTTTGGATAGTATAGATGTTAGTTATCCTTACTTGAGATAAGGAGATAGTATAGGTTTAAGCTAAATATACTATATAGTCAAAAGAGTAACGATGGGAACTTTGTAGCTGTAGAATAGATCAGAAGAGAAGCTAGTAAATTTGTTTTTTTTTTAATAAATCTTTAATTCCCAAGAATATTTATATCTTATTACCAGGTCATTCTTGGCAATATACGATGTTAAACAAACTTACGCAAATAAACTCAGTGTATTGCTCTTGGTATCAGGAATCTGATCTAATAAAAAATATTTTGCAGAATTATGAGTTTGGAATCATTAAGCAATACTGTTGATCAAATTATAAATCTTTTCTGCGGTTGGGGCATCAAACCTGATCGACTAAAAATCCAATTAAGCCACATCAAGATCGACTTGATGTCAGTGTAAATTCTCATTTTCAGAAGTTGATACTCATTCCTATCTATAAAGTTCATCATTGGTCGGACTTTATATAGATATTTTTATGTTCCTTTTTGTTTACATTTCTTCTTGTCCAGTCGAACAGTCGGTATTATTCGATATAAAAGTTCCTCCGGAAACGTTAGTTAGTTAATTAGTTAGTTAGTTATTTAGTTAGCTAGTTAGTTAGTTAGGTAGTAGGTAGGTAGGTAGGTAGTAGGTAGGTAGGTAGGTAGGTAGGTAGTAGTTAGTTAGTTGGTTAGTTAGTTAGTTAGTTAGTCAGTCAGTTAGTTTGTTAGTTTAGTTAGGTAGTTAGGTAGTTAGTTAGTTAGTTAGTTAGTTAGTTAGTTAGTTAGTTAGTTAGTTAGTTAGTTAGTTAGTTAGTTAGTTAGTTAGTTAGTTCGTTCGTTAGTTAGTTAGTTGGTTAGTTGGTTAGTTAGTTAGTTAGTTAGTTAGTTAGTTAGTTAGTTAGTTAGTTAGTTAGTTAGTTAGTTAGTTAGTTAGTTAGTTAGTTAGTTAGTTAGTTAGTTAGTTAGTTAGTTAGTTAGTTAGTTAGTTAGTTAGTTAGTTAGTTAGTTAGTTAGTTAGTTAGTTAGTTAGTTAATACGGCTTTATCAGACTGTTGTGCGCTCATTTACCAATATCTCAAGTCGGAATAGACCCCACGATCTCCGGTCTACCAGTTCAGAACAGTAATTACTAACCTACCGAAGACCACTAAGTTTTGAAGTTACTTTGCATTATAAATTTGTTTTAGATAATCTGGACCTTTCACTTAAACGGATTAATCATTTCATTTTCTAGCTAATTTAATATTAAAAATATAATTTCAATGTCATTCTTATGTCAAATATCAACTAGTAATCGTAGCAGTACTCTGTCATCATATATTATTAAAGTATTAGAAATGAATTCTTAAAAATTACTTATCAAAGTTAAGTAATTTTTTCAAACATCTACTTTTAGCTACAAAAGATTTTGAAGGATTTTCTTGTACTTTGAATATAATTCCCCTTACTTTCTATTCTCAAGAAAAACTAAAATCAAAATAAATAATTCTTAACTTAAGATTAAAAAACATACGTAGTAAATACTTACCCTCTTTGAAATAAGTCGACATTAAAAATTTATACAATTCCACTGAAAATTCAATTGTTGCTTGTAAATCACCCATTACGTTGATGTATTTCGTTGAAACTTGTATTTAAAAGGATAATAAAAATACAACACTGCAATCAAAAGTCCCACCACCCAATATGACAAAGATGTCGAAGAGTAGAGTAGAGTAGAGAAAAACAAGAAATGAATGCAGAAACCACAACGGTAATGGCATAAAAACGAATCGAAAAAAAAAGTTAACAAATAAATGCAAGCAGAAACAGTCAGCCAGCCATACGTTTAGACGGTGAGTCAGTCATTATTTTCATTCATTTATACGTTTGAATAACTAGGATTTTCTCGGTATTTTTGTTGCTGTTGTTGCTTCAGTCAGGGTCTTTTCATTCACAAATATACAGCAACAAACAGCATAATGACTGACACAAATATATTTTTTTTCTTGGTCTCGTTGCTTTGCTGTTTAGTATTTAATTTTCAATGTATTTGAGTTTAACGGTACATAACGACATAATGACATCCAAATAATAATAATAATTCGTATGTGTATGTTTAAGTCCTTTATGTTTGAATATGTGGGTGAGAGTTTCGGCACACAAACGCCAGCGATGTGAAGAGACTGCAGCTACAAAAAACTGTAGTTTTATAGAAGTTTTATTTAGTAACAGTACTTGGAAACCGTTTCCTTTTAATCTTGATTTTCATGTTTGACATTTGACATTGTATTATTGTTATATTTTGTGTTAAACGGTGGCAGCAGTAGCTTTAATAGTTTGTAGTGGCAGCAGCGTTAGCAGCAATGTATTGCTACTTGGTGAATATTTTTCCTTCTTGTCTTTCATAAACTCACACACTAATTCTATTACTCATACTTATCTACTTTCTTTCTCGTTTACCCTGTCTTCTCTCTGTGTAGTCTGTCTTTTTTGGAAAAATAATGATTATGTATAATGTATGTTTAACACAACAGGATTAAACGATGTCTACAACTACACTATGTCATTTGGTATGTAGTTGCTGTTGTAGTGGTAAGATTTTCTCATTAAATGTTTAATGTTGGATGATGTTGTTAATTTTCTTTTTGCTCATTCCTCGCATTTACACACCAACGTCTTTGTGTTAACAGCAGCAGTCGATTTTCTGTGAAAAAGCAAACAAACAAACAAACAAAAAAATTGAAAAAGGAAACGGAAATGTTATAAAATGAGTATTATTTTATGTTTACCGTTAGTCTTTATTAGTATTAAATAAAACCTACATATGTGTGTGTGGGTATTTTTTCTTTATTTTTATTTAATTCCAAGAAGGAAACGGATTTTATATAACAAAATAAATAAATAAAATTAAATTTAGCTGAATTTTCTAACAAATATTTATAACTTATTTAATGTAAGAATACATATTCAAGACAAACAAAACTCCAGTAAGAAATTATAGTCGGCCCAGGCCGACCTTGTAATACCCTAGTTATGAGAATAACATGTGATTTGTTGATGAAAATCTTTGAGAAAGATGTTTTATATATAGGGGCTGGGGGAAAATATGGACCGACCCTAATAAATTTTGGCGTATGGATTAACGTTTGGTGTCAATTTGTTACCAGGCGTGTATATTTATTTTTCCCTCTGTGTACTACTTCTTCGACTACCTGAAACCTGCACGGTTCTTCAGGCAGATACAGCCGCGAGAAGAATCCGGTAACTAAATCTCGAAAATTCGACCATACATATGTATATACTTGGGCAGCTTTGCATCAATCAAGGCTCTTAATTCCAATGTTATTAAGTCGAAACTAATACAACATCACGTTGAGTTGATATGGGTTCCAGGAGATGAGGGCATAAGCGAAAGCAATTCTAAGGGTATAAAGAATAGGCCACGAGGCCTCCGAGTGAACTCTCTAACTAGCGAGCAACCCACGTTACCTAACCAGTTATCACTCATATTTTTCATTAAAAATTGAAATTTATATGAGAAATCTAAAGGCGGAAAGTCGTTTTTATTAATGACACCTGTACGTATACGCGTTAATGATTTATTCATATTACAAATATTAAGTATACGACTAACTTAAAGAAGGACTCGAAAGTAAAAAAAACGAGTTTTTAAAAGTTTTTTGCGATTTTGATCTTGAAGATGAAGTTTTTTGCGAGATATGAGCCTGAGAAAATGAGGGAAAAAGACTTTTTAAAATTATACATGCCTGGTGCCAAATTGACACCAAAGTGTTTATAATTTTTTAATAAAATCCATTGTCAAAGTATGTACAAATAGCTGTCAAACTAACAACAAAAATATAAACAATACACGACGTTATTAAATCAACAAAAAAAATAATAATGTGTTACCAAAATGACAACGCTGTGTAGTCAAACAGAACGTTGCGTTGTTGAAATGACAACGATTCGTTGTTAAAATCACAACGATGCATTGCCGAAATGACACAAAACGTAATTGAAATGACAACAATGCGTTGTTGCAATGACAACGATGTGTTGTCAAAATGATAACTGGGTGTTATTTAAATTTTATACACATCCGTTGTCTAAATGTTAACAAACGTGGTCATTTTTGACAACGGATTCCTCTGTGTATGGGCAAAACTGGGAGACACGGATTTGTTTTGGTATTTTATCACGTAGTGGTGTCCGATAATGTTATTGTGATCACTCAACTCAGATGGGGAAAATTGATAGGATTATAATTAAATACTTAGTATATAAATATATATAGTATTGTTACTCTCTTCACTTTTTAAAGACTAATGTCTTCTTCAATACCTTCATTACTTTTTACCAAAGACCTTCTTAAGAATTTTTCTTTACTTTTTTTATCACTCAAAAACCTTTAAGGCTTTTTTTGTTGTGGCTTCATTAAAACTACGTAGTAGCTAGAAAAAAGTTTTTTGTTTTCTTAAAACCTTCATTCATTAAGTTGATTTAAAGCTTTTTAATGAGATGTAAATATTCAAAATCACGTTGTATGCTGCTCTGTCAGCCATCAAGTTTGAGTTTATTAAAACATTTTTTAATAAAAAAAATTGCTTTAAATTAATACAAACATTTAAATTTCTACATAGACGTTAAACAAACAAATGTTTTAAAATATTAAATAATTTTTTTTTGCGAATTTTTTCTGTAAACACAAATTGTTGAAATTTATTTCAGACAATTTGCAAAATTGCTGTATAAGTAATAGAGAAATATTAACAAAATACTTAAATTTAAATGCTGCTAGGAGCAGTGGATTTTTCCTTTTTGTTGCTTCAAAGATTGATTCATTTAAAAAACAGATTTGCAACAAATTTGTTTAAATTACGCAGTTAGCATAAAATGGGCTACAAAGTATGATTATAACTGTTCTTATAGAATTTTGACAAAGTGGGGTTCTCACCTAGATATAAGGAGGCTGTACACTGACAAACTAAAAATACACAAAAGGACTAAGACAAATATCTAAAACGTTAAAGATCGCAAGGTCAAATTAGGTCGATCTTTGAACGATTGCTTAGACGAATATTCCAAGAAATCAGCTGCAGAAGTAACACATTTTACATTTTATTAGATTTTTTTGAACTATGGAATTATATCATATATTGAATATTCTTCAGGCTCGAGTTCGAGTCCCACTTGGGGATATATTTTTTCCAAATTGTACAACAACAGCAGAATGGAATGCATTTAAATAATTTTAGAATAAGTACAGATCAAAAGAACACATTCATTTTGAAGTCCCCAACTTACATTTTATCAATACAAGTAATTCTCATTTAGTTAAGAATATTTTGGTTACAAGAGCTTTAGGTTTGGCCGAATTAATGTAAAGAGTATAAATATTATTTGTTTAAAAAGATATTTAAATCCCAGAAAAATAAAGCCAATGCCAAGTTTTGTTTAACCATTCCCATAGTGCATTAAAAGTGGTTGCCACAGAATTAACTTAAACTTTCACTAGAAACACACATTTCTTTGTTCGAGGTTATGAGGTCAATAAAAACGAAATAAACAGGTATAAAAAATATAATATAAACCACCTTCAATTGTTGGAAAAGAGTAAAGAATAAAAACGAATTCAGTCAAAACAAGAACAAAAACAACAACAAAGTAAAATAAAATATAAAAAACAAAAACTGATTCAAGAGAAGGATTACCAATAAACGTGTTTCAATGTAAAAAACATAAACAATTACAGCGAAATAAAACAAAAAATAAATCTCAAAAATTTTATTAGAAATTTATTTAATCAAACGAAATGAAATCGCAGAACATGGAGAATAAATTAGGCTTCCAAAATCCTTCAATCTTTTATTAATGAGGCTTTTAAAAGCAAAACATTTCCAATTAATTGGAATAAATTAATTTGTCTAACACACACTTATACATACAAACAATTTACATTTAAAAAATCATAAATTTTTAAGCAGCAAACCAACAAAAAAAGTTATACTGCTTTTCTTTACTCTAAAAAAATGTTTAACTTTGTCTCCTAGTTAAGTTTTCACTCTTACTCGCACACTGTCTTACACATGGAATGAGGTCATATCACATGCTACCACAAAAACCTCATCAACAACAAAAAACAACAACTACTACAACATCATCATCAAAAAGACACTGAAAACAATAAATACAACGGATAAAAGTTTTAATCGCCTACGAACAAAACCAACAACATCAAAAGCATGCCGTGCTAATGTTTTTGTTGTTGCTAAAGTTTTTGCAAAAATAAAATATAAAAAAAAACTTGGAAAATAAAAACCAAAATAAAACGTAACGAACCCAGAGACGCTGCTACCATTACCAATCCCTACTTAACATATTTAAGTATGAATGTGTATGTGAGTGACTGCTCAACGGTATAATGAACTGTGAACCATCGCCAACACCCACATTAAGGCCCACTACTTGTCCTCATTGTCAATACTGTGTGGCACGTATTTTATACATACACTAGTGGGTTTGTATGTGTTCATGCACACTACTTACGTTTCTCAGAGAGATTAAATGATTAATTCGTTAAGAAATCTTTAGGAATGCCGATCCGTTTAATTAAAGGTTATATTATTGCAAAGATTTTAATTGAACATTTATCTCTTTTTCGATGATGTATAAGCAAGTAATTGAAGGTCAAAAGGTCAACAAAACGATTACTATGTAAAGGACTACTGTGTGTTTTCCAAACTTAACATTTCTCTGAATGATCATCACTATAAGTCTTATACCGTTACTTATGTATGTTATTGGAGGTCAAAGGTTTTAAAAAATTGATTAATCTGATAGCGGTATTCGGTTAGTGCTTTCCTAATTTATTGTCAACGGATCCATGTCACCATGTGGACGATCTTATAATACATGATAAATTTGGTAGCATAGTGAAACTATTAAATAAGATAAATTAGTGGATCTAACGTAGAAAACAACTGCCTACTAGTTCTCCATGAAAAACTTTATAACAGATTAGATGAAGATATTCTGAAGAAGAAAGAAGATATGTCAGATGTTATGGACTTTCAGCTGGCTTACAACATTTCATAAAAAAAGTTGTATTGGCGCTGTTATAACTTCTCAAAAAAAAGCCAAAAATAGGGTTTTTCAAACTTCAGGACGCGATATCTCGAATTCGGATTCAGCGCAGCCTAATCCTTTGGAAAAGTCTCTGTTATAGATATTTTGTCCTTGTAATATTTTCAGGACTCTTGTTAATAGATCAGCTATTAGATCGCTAACATTTTATTTAATATATTCGATAAATTTCAGTCCCTCAAAAGTTCTTCATACACCGGGTGGTTTTACAAATCTTATTACTCCAACTTATATTTACATCTAACAAATTTGTTGGCATATTTTTGCCACAATTCAGATCATAAAAGAGATTTGAATCATATATACCAGCTCGTAGAGTTCGATTATGTGTCCAAACATCATGAAAGCTACAATTGATTTTCTATCAATGGCACTTTTCCAGTTTTCGAAATCCTGGACCGATTTTACGGATTTTAAATTGCAAACATTTCGAAAGCATGTCTGGAAAAAATTATTCAAGAGTTGAATCTCGAAGATATCTGGGACTTTCAGAAAATTGTATGGATAAAGAAGAAGTTGAAGTGCTTTTTGTGAACATATGCCGTATTGGCTTTATTT